TTTGATTTTGGTACTATTTTGTCTACTATAAGTCAAACTGTGATAATAACGATTGGTATATTCTATCCTTCAAAACCTGAGCGGCAAAAATTGAACTGAGGCAAGCTCTAATTTATAGGTTACCAGACGCAAGAATTTTCCTTTCTTCTTAACATAAGGTGTGAGGTAAAAAAATTCAAAAATTAATAATGAAAATTCAACTTTTCTTTTGATTCAACGTTTTAATCAAACAGTTTATGATCGACGCTAGAAGTTAGTCCGAGGACTCTTTCATTAAATTAGATAAGCGGGATATTGTGAATGGTACCGAAGGGTTGAACGTTTTGGTGTTAATCAGACAAACCCTAACGAAAGAGTACGTCTACAATCCCAACTCTCTAAATTGCTTGTTTTTTGTTTCATTTAATTGGATGGAAAAACATTTTTAAAATTTTTTTATCATGATTATTAAATCCTCTTAATCCTCTTATTTGATGGAATCAATCCAATGAAGTTTCATCTTTAATGAGATTTCAGTCCTTCACTGCCAATCGCAAAAAAGTGCGAAATCGATGAAGCCAAAATTATTATAACTGCGTTTATTGTAATTATGCATTTTAGGCTTTATTAATAGATTTCCAAACCCAGGCCTTCTTTCAGAAAAAAGGGGAATTGAAACTCGGATCATTAATTTTCAGAGGGTTTTTATATTTTTAATCATCTTTTCTTCTCAACATGGGTTTTGCATGGATCTCTTTTCAAATCCTCATAAATTATAATTTCATTCTTTAAAAAATTTATTGGGCGTTGTCGAATTGGACGTTGTCGCTTTCGCATCGTTATGACCAGACTTTCCAGACTCAAACACTCCCTGAGACTCGCAATTCGGGTAAAGATCCGGAGGTAGCGTGGCTCTCAAAGTGGGAACGTAAATATGGGACCTCGCTCCGGGAGTTGAATTTTCTCTGAACACAATTAATTTGCCTTTCATACCTTAATATAACTTAAGCCATAGTAGTATGTAAAAAGCCAAAATGAAATCAATGATATGCTTGGTTTGGGGCTGAACAGTTTTCAAAATACTACCTACTCTTTTAGTTCTAGCCAACCATGAATAAATTGGGTCGGTGGGGCAGAGATCGTCCATTAGCTTTTACCCGAGTCGAGGTTTTTCACCTTATTTGAAGCAAGATTTGAGCGGTTTGAGCGGTTTTTTTAGACAATTACGCTCAAAACCTTGCTTCAAAATGAGCGGTTTGAACGGTTTTGAGCGGTTTATCTAAAAAAAACCGCCTAAAAACCACGCAAAATTTGAGCGGTTTATCTAAAAAAAACGCTCAAAAAGCGCTCAAATCTTGCGCGGTTTTTGAGCGTTTTTTTTTAGATGAACCGCTCAAAACCGTTCAATTCTTGCGCGGTTTTTGACCGGTTTTCTTAGATAAACCGTTCAAAAACCGCTCGAACCGCTCATTTTGAAGCAAGATTTTGAGCGTAATTGTCTAAAAAAACCGCTTTTTTTCTTACATATTTTCCAGTGGTTATTTTGCTCGAGCATTTGAAAAAAGTCGCTCACATTGTTTTTGGTCAAGACATCGAAAAAAATCTTGCTTGATTTGAGAACGGTTAAGCACTTTTTTAAATTGTAGATAGTATTTCAACTGCATCTTAGCGTGGGTTGACCAAAAATGCTTATCCTACATTTTCCATATATGAAAAATGCTTATCCTACAATTTCCTACGGTTTCATAGACTCAGAAAATTGTAAAAAAAAAACTCTAGGATAAGCGTTTTTTCATATATGGAAATTGTAGGATAAACATTTTTTCATATATGGAAATTCGGGTAGAATCTCGACCCGGGTAGAAATTCGGTCGGGAAGAAAAGGTGTTCGTTACGCTAATTTCTAGTATAATGTAAAATTTTCTAACAATTATACTGTGCAGGATTAAAATGTAAATTGAGATCATTAAATTAATAGGGAAAGGGAACACATCCAGGGCTAGGGAACAAATAATTGGAACCCAATTAATTGTAATTAATTGGATCTAATTAATTGCTTGTCGAGTCCATTTAGTTTCAATCAATTAATTCAGGGGTTTCAATCAATTGGAATTAATTGCACTTATTATCCACCATTTCAAATTTGCTACTCCATTTTGTTTTGTAGTTGCAAAATGCGCAGCGTTGTTTATATTCCGAGTAGACTCAGTAATCCCTACAGTGCTATTTCACTGTATCTAGAAATGGCAAAATATTTATCTCAAGATGCCGAAAGTTTTTAAGAGTGGGTTGATCAAGATTCAGTATAGGGATGAAACATCGCACTCCAGCTCGGAGAAAGAAAGAATCGAGAAAATTGTGGCAAATGCTTCAGTCATTGTTGACAAAGAAGGTCGAGCGCGAAAAATATGCAATGAGTTTGCTTAAAAAGCAGAAAGAATTTCCAAAAGAAAACTAATGTGATTCGCCGACATCTAATCTGGCTGAACCTTTTTTTAGGTTTTACTTCAACAATCTCTACTGCCAATGAATCTCGAGGCGCAGATGTTCTTAAAGCTCAACAAAAGTTTTTGGAGTAAAGAAACCATGAAAAACTTAAGCGCTCTGAATTTTTTGATCTAATCAAGTTCGAAATTGATTTTTGTCACTTTATTTTTCACATTTCAGTTCAAATTCAATTAAATGCAATTAATTGCATTTAATTAATTGATAGACTGGCCAATTCCAATTAATTAATTGCAGCTGTCCATAAAGGATTGGAAGGGCCCAATTAATTGTTTCTCTACCCCTGAACACACCAGCACATGTGTTATGCTCTGCTGTTGCGAAGAACCTTCTATTATTGTTCCGACTTTCGATACGAAAGTAACGGAATATTTGTGCTCGGGGTGGGTTTTTTTTTCTTCAGACAAATTTCGACTTTTTAACTAGCCATTTTTGACGGAATTTTTTTAATATCATTCGAAAGGTATTGCTCTCTTGAGCTCAAATTTGAAAAGATATTTCACCTGTGATCATTTTTCGTAAAGTTATGGGGGTTTAAAGATTGCCATTTTGGCCAATTTGGGACAATTAACGCGCGATATATTTCGCGCTATTAACGCGTAAGCGGAGATTTAATCCGTCTTAAAATCGTTCCAAATTGGTTGAAAGAAGCTTATTTGCCATAATTGATTTGTTAAAAGGAGCTAAATTTTTCTTTTTGTACTTTATATGGCGTGTGGGGTGATGATTTTCATAAAAAATTTCAAATTTTAGAAAAAAAATTTTTCATTTTATTTTATTACATTTAATTTTTTGATGTTATTACTGCTCCATAAAAGCTCAAAAGGCAGTCGGAACATTCAGGGTTTCGCCCTGATACGAGCAGTCTTGTTTATATTCCTATTAAAGACCGAAATGTCAAAATGATAATTGTTCTGACTTTCGATACGAAAGTAACGGAATATTTGTGCTCGGGGTGGGTTTTTTTTTTCTTCAGACAAATTTCGACTTTTTAACTAGCCATTTTTGACGGAATTTTTTTTATATCATTCGAAAGGTATTGTTGTTTTGAGCTCAAATTTGAAAAGATATTTCACCTGTGATCATTTTTCGTAAAGTTACGGGGGTTTAAAGATTGCAATTTTGGCCAATTTGGGACAATTAACGCGCGATATTTCGAGCTATTAACGCGTAAGCGGAGAGTTAATCCGTCTTAGAAATCGTTCCAAATTGGTTCAAAGAAGCTTATTTGCCATAATTGGTTTGTTACAAGGAGCGAAATCTACCCTTTTGTACTTTATATGGCGTGTGGGGGGATGATTTTCATAAAAAATTTCAAATTTTCGAAAAAAAACAAAATTCATTTTGTTTTATTTCATTGAATTTTTTAATGTTATTACTGCTCCAAAAACCTTAAAAGGCAGTCGGAACATTCAGGGCTTCGCCATGTTACGAGCAGTCTTGTTCTATTTTATAATATGTAGATGAGGTCAAATAAGTGCTTGTTTGGTTACTTTGTTCTTTTTTAAATAACACTGTTACGTAAAATTTTTTTTAAAAAATAGGCTTTTTGTTGTAAGATAATTTTAAACGTGGTCCAATTAGCACAATTTTAATCGGACCTTTTTCAGTTGAATTAATCGTTTTAGTGACTAGCGCTTTTGTTTGCCTTCACAAAAGAATACCATGATAATTGATTGAACCTTAAGGCCAGTTCGAAAAGATAAATATAACCTATTTTGTTATTATTTTGACGGAGAACTGAGCTAGACGGAAAAAAGAGATGGTCTGTGTTATGTTGTATAGAATCACAATTACGTGCTCGATCATCATGGTTTACTGAAAAAAAATAATGGACCACCAAAAAAAAGGGATACGCAATGGTTAAGTGAAAAAAAGTATGTGTTATGTTACGACAAAAATAAATATATAGTTTTTCAAGTTCGAGTACCACGAGCTGAAGTTTCAACGAACGCAGAAGACGATTATTTCAAGGGAGGAGAAACATTTGAAAAATCTAGTTCATATTGTCATTTTAACAACTTCAAATCTATCGCGTCTTGCTTTTAGACGTCACTAGGTTCAATGGTTTTCATAGGCCTGGTAGAACCGACGTACGAAAATTCTATCAGAAAATGCATTAGGTGCAAAAAATACTTTAGTTTAGGGACGAGCGCACTCCAAAAATAGCCTTTTTGCAATTAAGCCAACTAAGTTCAAAAAGACTGTTTTGTCAGAAAAGCGCCCCAGGCTTTCATTACTGAATCAGCAGGTGAGCTGTAGAAATCTAAAAAACTGATCTACAAGATTAGAAAATAATTTTAAAAAAGTTTGCTGAGAATTTGAATTCAGTTACAAAGGGTTATTGAATAATTGAAGTTGCATGAAATTTTGAATTGTAAATGGTACCAAATGCGAAATCGATAAAAACCAATTCAAACTTCATCGTGTATATTTATACTTTCAGAGAACAATACAAAACCAGCTCGCGATAAACTCACTAATCGTCTTCTAGGGCTAATTTTGGGCAAACATAGATAGAAGTTGGCAAACTTCATTTTAACGCAAACCAACTTTGGTCCATTCTAGCTACTGCCAGTTTGTTCTATAGTTAATAAGTTAATCTACATCAATCTGATAAAGTTATAAGTTTTACTCGTGCTTTCAAATGCATTAGTAAACCTAAATCTGATTAAGCTCAGTTCGAACCTGTAATCATGATCAACGAGATTTTCAAAGAAATCAACAAATCGAATTTCGCCGCTAACGGAGATTCAATTGATAAATTGGTCAGTTTTTACACAGTGCTAATTTACATAATTGGCGCCATATTCCTCAGCGTTTCTCCTTTCGTTGCCGGATTTTTCCAGTGCTACACTCCGGCTGAGTACAGACCGGGGTGGGTCCAATATGCCACCCGTTACTGCTACCTGAAGAACTCATTCTATATCCCGTTCAAAAATGACGAGGGTGATGATGACGTTCTCATTGCTGAACACATGCGAAGCGGGGATGCTTTGGAGATCACATATTACCAATGGATCCCGTACTACCTCGCCTTTTCCTCGATTCTCTTCATGATTCCCTACATATACTGGACGTCAATCACAAAAATGGCAGGAGTTGACTTGGAATACCTGATCACACAGGCTGCAAAGTTTGACGTGAGCTGCTCGAAGGAAAATCGTGAAAAGACGATCAAATCTCTTGCTGATTACATCGATATTTACCTGGACAATCAGGAACAAATTCCTGGAAGGAAAAGTTGCACGGAAAAGATGATGGACATGTTTAAGTGTTGCAGCAACCATAAGGGGAACTTAATGGGGAACAACTACTTTTTCTCCAAACTCATGTACATTGCCATAATTGGACTTCAACTGTACTCCTTGTGCAAATTTCTGGGCATGAACCTAATTTTCTACTCATTCGATCCAAAAACATTCGGCGACTTGATTCTGACTCACTCGTTTGAATGGCGTGAAAAGGAACTTTTCCCACTCGTCACGTACTGCAACTTCACCAAACAAATCGAACACGGGCAGGAGGAAAAGCGGTTTATTCAGTGTTCGATGCCGAATAATATTTTCAACGAGCGATACTTTGTGCTTGTTTGCTATTGGCTCGTCGCGTTGTTCGCTTTGATGGTGTACTCGGCCTTTTCGTGGTTCAACATGATTTTTCTCGGAATGAGACGAGACGTCTACGTGAAAAACTTGATCCGAGTGACAGAGGAGTTTCCGAAAGAAGAAGGGAGTTTGGACAAGGAACGACTTCGCGAATTTGTGTCTTGGTACCTGCAGCAAGACGGAATCTTCGTATTCCGAATGATCGAAACCAACACCAGCCGAGTCGTAGCTTCCGAGATCATGTGCAAACTGTGGGAGCATTTCAACTCTAATTATGAAGAGGAGAAAAAGCACCGAAGACAGAAATCGGGAAAGAAGCCTCCGGGTCGGGAGTCTTCGGAGATGTCAAACATGGGAGATGATGAGGAATATGATGGGTATGATCCGAAGTCAGAAGTGGCAGGGTCTTCGACCGCCTAAATCATTCAACTTTGATTGAAGAGTGAATGCAACTAAAATAGCTATTTTACTACTACAAAATAACTTCAGGTTGTTGGCTGGTTTTCAGGTTTCAGATTTTCAGTGATTTTTTAAGAAAAAAAATATTATAAAAATTGATTTATTTGTAATATGATGTTTATATTTTGGACTCGGTAATGAAATTGTGGCCAACGATTTGATAGAGGCAAATTTTCCAGAGCGATTGACGACCAAACAAAGAAAAGAAAAAAGAACCATTGATATCATCATAATTGAGCATATTAATCTATTAGTAGTATGAATTCGATATTAAAATTTGAAAACTACATGCTTTTAATCACAAAACCTATTAATTTTAGACTTAAACAAGACTGCTCGTTTATCAGGGCGAGGCACTGAATGTTCTGACTGCACGTCGTCGTAAGGGTGTTGATTGCTTTGAAAAACTGATGAAATTTTTGAAAAGAAAAGAAAAAAAATTCATTTTTTTTGGTAATTTCTTCGAAAAATAATCCACTCACACGTTATCTAGTTGACAAATTTCGCAAACAGCAAAATATTAAAAAGACCAAAAGAAAGCCAGAACTCGCAATATATCGCGAGTTAATTGTCCCAAATCGGCCAAAATGGCAATTTTTAAAATACATAATCTAGCAAAAAATGATTACAGGCGAAATGATTTCTTTTAGTGTGAGCTCAAGACAACAATATTTTTGAAGGACATTTTAAAAATCCGTTAAAATTGCTGGTTAAAAAGCCCAAATAAGTCTTCGGAAAAAACCAAACCGCGCACAAATAAACCGTCATTTTCTTCGATAGTCGAAAAAAAAACCTAATTTATGACCATGAACTTTTAAAGTTAGAATTTTTGGCTAAAATGAATAATTTGACATCTGAAAACCACATGTAGTTAAAAACATAATTGTCGGTCAATGAATTGCCGAGCTACGGGCGCTACATGTTTCCTGCGAGCACATGGTAAAACAAGACTGCTATCAAGGCAAAATCTTGAACTGAGTGTTCAGGCCAATTAAAAAGCTTTTAGTTGAATATTCGACGAACTAACCGAAAGAAAAAGGAAAAAAAATGTTTTCATCGTTTTATTCATTTTTCCCCACCTGTAAAAAACAAAAGGTCGTGTTTATCGTTCCGTATTATTTCAATATGACTATCTTGTCTCATTTCAATTTCGAACGCATTTCGCAAATTAGCCAAATTAGCAATTATCAAACCACGGTTACTTCAAAAAAAAACACGAGTGAAATATCTTTTAAAAATGAGCTCAAGTAACAACATCTATCAGATATTATACAATATTCCCCACGAAAAATAGTTAAGATGTCAAAACCGCCTGAACAAAATAACAAGATAGTTCATATATCAGGGTAAAGCCCTGAATGTTCCGACTGCCCATTAGCTGATCTCGAAACATTTTTAGGTCCTTCAATTTTATGAATTAGATTTATGACACCCAATATCAAATATAAAACGCAAAAAAATTGTGTTCAAACAACACGACCAAATAGTTTGCCTCAATTCAGTTCGGAACGACTTTGAGTGCGAGATAATTTGCCTTATTAATTCGCGCGTTCAACTCATCAACTAAAAAACCGAGCACTTTCCATCGTTTCAGGCTGGTGACAAGGATACTTGCTTTTTGGATGGATAAGCTTACACAGTCAACTTTTGTAAAATTGGTCTGAATAAAAAACCATCACCCCAAGCATATTTATTCGGCGTTTTTTCAAAAGTCGGAATGATAAACACTTTTTGACATCAAAATCATAAAATGAAGCCCTAGATTATAACAAGACTGCTCGTATTACGGCAAAGCCTTGGTTGTTCCGACTGCCTTTTTAGGCCTATGGAGCAGTGTTCACCTTTAAAAAAGTGATGAATTGTTTACAAAGAAATGAAAAAAAAATTAAACTTTTTGAGATTTTTTTATTATCCGCCTACACGCCATATAACTAACAAAGTGATAGATTTCGCTCTGAGTAACAAATTAACAATCTTATGGCAAATAAGCTTCCTTCCACCAAAATGGAACAATTTCCCAGACGGATTAAATCTCCGCTTACGCGTTCATAGCGCAAAATATGTCGCGCGTTAATTGATCAAATTGGCCAAAACGGCTGTCTTTAAACCCACACATTTTACGAAAAATATTCACAGGTGAATTTAATTTTCAAAATCAAGCTCAGGACAAATTTACTTTTTGAAAGATAAAAAGAGTTCTGTCAGAAAGGGCTACTTAAAAAGCTGAAGTTTGTCTGAAGAAAAAAAACCACCTCGAGCACAAATATTCCGTTATTTTCGATATACAAGACGAAATTTTACTTTTATTTTGAAAAAAAGGAATAAAAAGAGAGCGATAAATAAAGTATTAAAAAATTCATAACATCCGTTTTAGCTGAATGTTGCTTTATCTTATGATTCCGCTTATATCATTTCAAAGTTATTTCGGATTCTATCAATATTTGAGTAGTCACGGCTGAAGGCAAGATTTGTAACCCCTTAGAGTACGGGGTTAGGAGTTTCAATATTAAAAATATATTAGGAGTTTCAATAATAAAGAAAATTTCTGAAACATTTTTTTGAAAAAAAATCACTAAAAGCGTCATATCTGGAAGGCTGGAAGAATACAAAAATTTGAGTGGGGGTGGGGGAGTCGCAAACGCTGAGAGTATTCTGACAGCCCCCAACTACTGGGTTAGGATTTTAAACTTTTGAACAAAAAATAATTCAGTTTTCCTGAAAATTTTTGAAAAAATCACAAAAAAGGTCAAATCTACAAAAATAAAAGTGTTTGAGCAATCACATTTTGAGAAAAAACGCAATTTATGGGAGTACTCTGACAAAGCTTGACTAAACAGATGGGAAATTCAAACTTTGAGACATTTTTCAAATCTACGTTTTTTGAACCGTTTAAAAAAAAACACATAACAAACGTAACATCTTGAAATTTAAAAACATTTGAGCAGTCGCATTTGGACGCAAGATTTTCAGATTAGATTTCCTGAGAGTATCCTCACAGTGCACAACTACAAGGTTGAGAATTTTAATGCTTTTTTGTTTTTTTTTTTTAATTTTTTTTTGTTTTCTGAAAAATTAAAAATATATATATAAAACACGTCATATCTCGAAAACTCCAGGTATTTGAGCAGACATATTTGGAGGCAAGATTCGCAATTCTTGACAGTACATTGACTGTAGCCAACTACAGGGTTGGGAATAACAAGTTTTTGTAATTTATTTTGGAATTTGAGTTTTCTGAAAATTTTTGAAAAAATCAGATTAATCTTCTTATCTCGTACATTAACAGGTTTTGGGCATTCATAATTGGAGGCCAAATTCACAAACCCTGGGAGAAAGCTGACAGCATCTTATTATTGTTCTGCTTATTTCAAACACGGGGAAATAAACATTGTATTCGAACTGGAAAATCGAAAACAAATTCTCAATCATTGCAAAATACTATATGTCTTAAATGGGAAAAATGCTTTCACTAAACATGCAAAAACAATACGTTTTTGCAACGTTTTAACAAAAGATTAATCGGAGCGAGATAGCGAATCCCCTATTCAAATATATAATAGGTAACAAATTAATGAATAATTCAAAATGAAAAAAAATTTTGGTTTTTAAAGTTTGAGATTTTTTTAAATTCAAACCATATACAGGACAAAGTGATAGATTTCGCTCCTAGTTTTATAGCATTTATAGTAATAGCCAGCTTCAACTAATCTGGAAGATTTTTGAGACGGATTAAGTTGTCGCATACGCGTTATTAGCGCGAAATATATCACGCGTTAGTTGTCCCAAATTGGCCAAATTGGCAATTTTTAAAAACCCATAACTTGACGAAAAATGATCACTGCTGAAATTCTTTTCAAAGTTGAGCTCAGTACAACAATACCTTTCGACTAACTTTTTTAAAAAATGCATCAAAAATGGCTTGTTAAAAAACTGAAATTTGTCTGGAGAAAAATAAGTCACCTAACTTCCTTCGAAATATTCCGTCACTTTCTCCGAAAGTCGGAACCATAAAATCTTGCAAACTGAGATAGAAATCGAGTTTTGAAATGGACCTTTGAATTATTGATCTACGTTTTCGCCCATTATTTTCGAGGAATCAAAAGTAGAGGCTTTTACATGCGCCAAGTGCTTAATCACTTTGATATAATGGCCCATGATAGACATCAGTTGTCACTCTCTCTAGTTTTGAAGCACTTCAAATATTTAAAAGATAAGACCAAATCTTCCGTTAATTCGTTTCCTTCCTTGAAATATGAGTGAAAAGTCTTTGACTCTGATGAACATAAGAAGCATGGTCTATTTATAAAGCACTCAGCAAGCTTTCAATCTTCCAACATCTTTCATATTTGAGCAGAAATAACGTTGTGTACTTATGTGAAAAAAAAAAGAAAAATATCAGTCTTCACGATTTTTTAAGTGTAGATATAGAGCAACAAAGTTAGTATAAGATTTGATGAAATATATTTATCCACAAGGGAAAGGACCAACATACGAGCCGTTCAGCTCATCACGGAGTGCCCCTGCTTAAGAACTAGCAACTTTTTTGGTTGTTGTTCTGGGCTGGGTTATGTTGCTTGACTGCCAAGCAACAACAGGGGCGGATTTAGGGGAGGGGGGGGGTGGGGGGGGGGGGGGGGGCGGACGCCTTTCCGTTTCAAGGATTCGGCCCCCTGCCGACCCAAAGGGTCCCCTTTGTACTGTTTTGAAATATCCATTTTTGGTGACGGACCCTGAAAACTTTCTAAGAGCGCCTTTGGCGCCATTCTATACTAATTTTGAGGAGGAAGTGCGCACCTAAAAAACGCAATTTTTTAGTCCAAATTTTCCAAAAAGTGCCTAAAACGACTTTTTTGACCTGTTTTTTCAAAATTTGGCCAAACTAGGGACCTATTAGTGCTTTGGGAGAGCTGGAAAAATCAATTTGGTCGACTTATACGTTGGGCTTCGAGCATGCGACGTTTCGATTAAGAGGCGGATACCATATTGCATGTCAGAAAAAGATTTTTGTAAGCAATCAGCTGCATACAAACAGAGATTTGGGATCTACTTAACAATTACACCCCCCCTTTTAAGAAAGGGGGGCAATTGTTAAGTAAATTAAAATAACGCATTTTCGACCAATCAGATTGCAGCAAAATTAGAAGTCTTAATACGAAGCTCTAGCGCTAATTTACTGCTTTTATTAATAGGGGTGTCATTTCATAAGTAGGTACCAAAAGGAGGGCAATTGTTAAGTAGATCCGAGATTTGTAATCAGCTTTCTGCGTTTTATGCTAAAAATAGCTCG